CACAATCACACGAGAGTAGTGCAGCCCCGCCCGCCCAGCCCTGCGCACGCGCTGTGAAATTAACTCGCGCGCCCTCCCACAGGTGCCAGGCCGGCTGACATTTCCAGCGGGCTCTGCTCGGGCTGCTCTTGGCTCTGTCCTTGCAGAGAGGATGAGGCAGTGGCGTTACCACCACCGTGAGCCAATTGCTGCAGCCTGATGCCACAGCCGCTGTCAGCCATCCGCCTGTTGTGGGCACTAGAAGAAAGTCGCCTGAGTCTCGTGCGGTGGGGGTAGGGGGCGTGGACGTGATGATGGTCTCTGTCCTGTGGTTGCCATCCCCAGGACTAAGATGGTCCCTACAAGGGCTTGGTCGGGGGCGCATATGAGGATGGAGCTTCAGAGCCCTGATCTGACCCTCAAAGAACTTCACAGCCATGGGGCAGGAGGGAGAGGGGCCAAGAATGGCCCTATCACCTTGGAGGGACCGCCAAGGGGGTGACTTCCTCCACGAGTCCCTCTTCCTGAGATCTCACCTGTCGTGGTGGGCTCAGCCCCTCTGGCCTGCGCAGTCCTCAGCCCGGGAGGGACAGGCAGAGGGTGCCTTAAAGACAGCGCTGCTCTGCACCACAGGGACAGGATCTCGAGGCACAGCAGGTGGTGGGTACATAGGACACGGCGGTGTCCAGCCCTGGAGGTGACCCGGCAGCTGCGTGGGAAAGCTTAGCCGAGTCTTCGAGTGACGGTGCCGGAAGCCCTGTTGCTTGTTGTCCCTTGGTGACTAATGGCTCCTGAGCAGGTCCCTGCTCCCCGAGACGATCTGTGTTCCTCTTCCTGACACACTCATTTAATTTTTAACTCACAAGGCATTTGCTTATTTATTTTCATTGTTCTTGATAATAATTCTAAGCCATTAGAGGAGAAAATTATATTCAAAAATGCTGTTTCACACTTTATTTGTTTGATGATTTAGAGCGATAGAAAATAGCACATTTGCTGGCTTTTATAGTCTGATAATTATTCACATCCATCAAGCCATTCCAGGGGAATAAACAAAACACCAAGAAAATTACACTATTAATAGCATCCTCCACGACGGACGGAAGACACTTCCCAGGCCAGCGTAGCAGCAAGACGCACAGCCCATCCGCTGCAGGGAAGGCCGCGCCCTGCAGTGTCCCAGCCGAGGACCCGCAGCCACGCTGTGGAAGTGGCTCGTGACGCAGCAGCTCGGGGTCAGGCCTTCTGTTGTTGAGACACGGTCTTGCTAAGTTGCCCAGGCTGGCCTTGATCTCCCAACCCTCCCGCCTCAGCCTCCTGAGTACTGGGATGGCAGTGTGAGCCCCAATCCAGGTGGGGCCCGGTCTTTGTGTCCCCACTGCCCTCTCAGGCCTGTCCCCGCCTGAACGCAAGTCGGACTGTGGCTCGGCCAGGTCATGCCCTGGTCGGGATCTGGCCTTGGTGGAGATGGCTCAGCCTCTGCTTTTGTCCCTTTAGGAGGTTTGTGGGTTCTGAGCTCCGCCTTTGTGGGGTGGTGGTAATCGGACGGGGTGATAGTCCCTGCTCAAAATGCCTCTGAGCAGGAGGAAAGAGGGCTGGCAGTGCAGAGAGCCTGGGGCCATGCGCCTTCCGGCTGCCCTGCTCCTCCCAGACTCGTGTTACTTTCCCGAGGATTTTTTAGATTTTGTTTTTGTTTGTGCTGCTGGGATTGAACCCAGGGACTTCACCCTGAGCTGCGTCCCACCCCTATTTACTTGCTTGCTTGCTTATATAAAGACAAGGTCTCACTGAGTCACTGTATTGCCTGGAGTAGGGTCGGACTTTCCGTCCTCCTGCCTCAGCCTCCCAGCATGCTGGGCTCACAGGCGTGCGCGTCTTACATTGGCCCATCTGGCGCCTTCTGTCCCCAGCTCATCCTCGCTCCACCTCAAGTGTTGCCCTGTGGGTTCTTGCATTGTTAACCTGTGGGCGGAGTTTTGTTTCTCAGCCATTGTGTGACTCACACATCTCATGTGCTGCTCAAGATGACAGGCCCAGGCCCGTCTGTGTCCGGGGCCTCCCCCGTGTACATGCACCTGACTCCTTATCTGAGTTTTATTTTCTCCTGAAGCACTCATGCTTTCTGAAAAGGACAGCTGGCAAAAGAGCCTGGCTTAGTCCCCTCAGCAGTGCCAGGAAGCTACACACAGTCCTGAGCTCCCAGCGTCCTGCCCAGGGTCACCTGCAGTGGTTGCCAGGGAGACCACTACCAGGGCTGGTAAGGAGGCAGATTGGACTGTTCATAATTTTTTAGTTCAGAGTCTTCCAGAGCTTTGTGTAGAGCACTGAAAAACAGGAGACAGGGAGGGGCGGACTGGAGGGACAGGGAGGGCGGTAGACACCCGAGCTGTGCCCTGTGCTTTTATTTAGAGCTGATCTTAAACGAGACCCCCAGAGCCAGAGGGACCCACAGCGGCTCCTCCCACGGGCTCCCTGAAGCCACCAGGCCCCAGGCCTCCACGCCCCCTGGAGGCTGCCAACGTGGCCCACCCACTGCCTTCCCCATCGTTCTGCGCACTCGCCCCCAGGATGCGCCCCAGAAGGGGCCAGAGGACCTGCATGGGCCTGGGCTCTAGGCAAGGATGGCGAGCCTGTTAGAGCTTTCAGTGACACAAACAGCCTGCTACAGCACGTGTGCCACAGGCCACGTGGAGGAGCAGAGGAGCTGCGGGACAGGACAGGGAAGTGCCCACTGACCAGGCCGCCGGGGTCGAGCCCTGGGGGAGGCCTGGCCCGAGGACCTGGCGCGGCCATCTGTAGGGAAACCCTGTAGGAGCCCACTGGGCCCAGCAGATGGGGCCGCGTGGGGTTGCAGGAGGCAGAGAGGATCGATTCTGGCCGCGCAGTTTGACCTTGTGACAGGACCAAGCCCCCAGGGAGCAAGGCGGATTGGCTCCCCATGTCGGTGACCAATAAAACCGACTTTGTTTTACAGCCCCGAGAAACTGCTTGCTAATCGTCAGACAGGTGCTCACACTGCCTCGAGCTTCCACAAGCAGACGTCGCCCACCCAGGTCGCCACTCCCTGTTGCCTTCGTCTCCGCAGCCGGGCCCCAGTTTCGGGGCCGCAGTGGGTGCCAGGCGCAGGTGGTGGGTGGTGAGGGCGGCTCTGGCTGAGCTCTGGGTGGCCGGGCCAAGGGCCGGGGCGTCTCCCCTCTCTCAGCATCGGCCCTGTGGCCTGATCTGTCACAGGCCAGCTCCTCCTCCCTGTGTCCTCTGTCTTCATCGTGTCGCACACCTGCGCTGGCCCCCTGGGTCCTCGTCACACCCCAAGAGCTGCAGCTGGAGGTTGGGTGCCCCTGGCCGGGAAGGCAGGGGACGATGCCTGTGCTGTCCTCTCCAGGTGGCCGCCAAGCACGTCCTGAAGCGCACAGCCCTTGCTCCGCTCCCTCAGCTTGGTCAGTGAGGTTCTTGCTCGGCCTGAGCCGTCCTGGGGCAGCTGGCATCCTGATCCATGTGCTTTGGCTTCGGTGCTCTCGGCACCACAGGACTGCCGCTGGGCTGTGCCAGGGGGCCCAGTGGCAGTGATACTCCTGGGCACTGCCGGCAGCAGAGTCCAGATGTGCCCAGGGCCACCCCGCTTCCCAGCCGAGAGCCTTTTTAATCTCTCCAGGGGCCTGCGTCCTGCCAGCTGTACTTCCTGATAACAGAGGAGCCCCGTTGCAATGTATTAAACTTTTAACATCCACCAGATTCAATTAATCTTATCTTTACAACTCCCAATTACAGGCGGTAATTAAGTGAAAGCCGCATTGTAGATGGGGGATATTGCATTAATCATCCCAGCCCCGCAGCCGTGAATTAGCTCCTTGCGTCCTCTGGCGTCTTCCCCTAGCAGGCGGGGGCTCGAGGCCCACCTAGGTGCTGGGATTAGGATTAACTTCTATCAGCTGTGTGTAAACGATAAAAGGCCCTTTAAGGAAGGGTGACCTCAGCTTTGTCCAGACAGTGGGAATCGCGGCGCAACAACAGTGAGGCTGGAGGTGCCTGGGTGGCTGAGGGCAGGAGCCTGGGAGTGTGCCCAGAAATTAATTACAGTATTTTATTTAGATAAGAGGCAACATGACATTTGCTTTATCTCCTGCCCCTGCCCCTCCTCAGTAGAAAAATCGTAAACCTCTTGCTGGGAATGGGCCTCGGAGCTGCAGACAGGCGGTCCTTGCCGATGCCGTTTCTCTTCCTGGCTGCCTGTGTCCTGGGGGTGGGCAGGGGCGGCTGTGTCGCACCCTCTCCTCAGCTGTGACTCAACTGGAGTGGGAGACAGGCAGCATGGGCCCTGGGACTGCGCTGTCCTGGGCACTGCTGGGTGCCGGGCAGCATCTGTGGCCTCCACCTACTCCATGCCAGGAGTTGCCCCTAACTGTGACAGCCACACATGTCCCCAGACATGGCCCAGGGCCTGGCAGTGAGGTTTCTGTCCTGTGCTGGGCGGGTTGGGCTGGCATGTCTGCCGGCAGAGGCTCCCCCGCACCTCGCCACAGCCCGCAGCTCGGGGCGGCTGTCCCCGTGGGGGTCCCGTGGAGTGTCCCCGCAGCCGCCGCCAGCTTCCCTACACGGCGTTGGTGGCGTGTCACTCCACGGCATCTGTTTGCAAACTCCCACCTTACATCTCCCTTGCTGCTGACAGAGCCCCAGTAATCTTTCAGATATAAAATGTGTAAAAATAAAACCCAAGTGGGAGACAAGTGAAACTTCTCATTCCTGAGGCTGCTTTTGCCCGTTGGCTCCTGGTCCTGGATGCGGGTGAAGCAGGCCTGAGAGCCGGTTGAGCCTTCCGTTCTCCTCGCTGGGGTCGCGCCCTCCCACCCGGCGCTGCCTGTGCTCCATTAGGAGCCTCCCAACTCTGGGCGCCACGAGCCCCCAGTCCCTGGTCTGCTTGCCTGGTCTGACGCCAGGGCTCTGCCCAGTGGCCCTCTCCACCGTCCGGAGTCTGTCCCTGTCCAGCTGGATGTGCCCTGTCTGACGCCTCCCTTCTCTCGCAGGTACGCCATCCCGCCGGAGCACGGCAAGCGCCTGGAGCGGCTGGCCATCGGTAGGTGTCTGCGGACGCGGCCCACACAGGGTGGGCGACGGACCTGGGACCAAGGCTGGAGAGCAGTCACTGCCCACCTAGGAGAGGCTACTGTCAGAGTTCTGTTTTGTTTTTGTTGTTTTTGTGCTAGAGGTAGAGTCCAGGGCCTTTGCACCGAGCTGTAACTCCAGCCCTTTTTAATTTGGAGACAGTTGTCACTGAGCCACTAAGTTGCCCAGCCTGGGCTTGAACTTGCGATCCTTCTGCCTCAGCCTCCCAGAGTACTGGGATCACAGGCGTGCACCACCGCACTCAGCTTTGGGTTCTGGTTTGGGGAACGATGATGTCCTGTGAGATGGGATCCACAGGGACCACACTGTGCTCAGTCTCGGAATGCTGTGAGTTCCCAGAATGCTGATTCTGGAACAGCCCCTGCGTTCTGGGTCCCCCCAAGGTCCGGGGCCTTTGTGACGTCCTGAGGCCATGGGTGGCCTGATCTCTGGTATCGCCTGGCACAGCTACTGCATGGGGCCTCAGCTCACTCTTCCAGGTCTGGTGGAGCCATAGGTCCCTCTCGAAGTGGTTGGGGGCTCCTGCCCTGCTGAGCTGCCCCGGGCTGCCCACATCCTCTCAGGGACTCAGGCAGAGGCTTGTGTCAGGTGGTGGAGTCCCAGAAACAAGCCAGGCACCACGAGGCCCCTGAGCAACCGGCACCCACCTGGGTCAGCTCTTGTCACTGCACCTGCTCTCCCCGCCTTGTGGAAGCTCTGCTTTCCTGGCATCAGGTGGCATCTGCACGCCCCGACAGACACTAGAAGTCTTACCTAGGTTGTCTGTCGGCTGTGACAAACCCAAGGCCAGGTCAGACAGTGGCAGCAGGATGTGCTGCTTATAGTTAGTCAAGATCTCAGTTGCTGCACCTGCGCACGTAGTGTCTGCCAAGGTGGTCCTCCCAGTCCTGGGCCTTTCTCTCTGCTCTGCAAGCTCCACCTCTTTTTCACAGCGTGACACTGGGGCTGAGCTCTGTGTCTCTCATCTCAGACCGTGGGCAGGCGGCAGGTGATCTTAGTGCAGCCTGGGGCAGCTCAGGACGTACGAAAGGGAGGGCGGTGAGGACCCGGACGCACAGGGGCCCCTCTGGTCGCCATGCACCTCCTGATGGCAGCTGGTGGGGTCCCAGGACTCTGAGGCTTGTGTGGAAGTTGCTCTTGACGTTGGCCTGAGGTCCCCAACTCCCCCGCTGCTGTCCTGTTGCCTCCCCACCTTTGGCCCAGAGTACAGCGGCCGCACGCTGTCCCTGCCCACTGGTTCTGCGCTGGAGGGACAGGGACAGCCCCTCTTGAGGAGGAAGCCCTGTAGAGGCTGCTCAGTGACTGGGCTGCCCCGCAGGTGCCGAGTGAGGGTGCTGTCTCCCGGCAGAGCACGCGGGCTCTGCCCCTGGACGCCTCTGGGGGACACTCGGCCCCGCTGTCATGGGAAGGGCCTGTTCTAGGTCCCTGCAGCGCATGCTTCCCGTAGAAACCTATGGTTTTGGATGGTCTGCAGCGAAGATCTGTTTATTTAGGTTCTGAGCTCTCAGATAAAAGACAAATGAAGACAGTTTTCTCCAGTGTACTTCTGTTGTTCTTTTCTTTTTATTTTTTTATTTTTTGGGACAGGATCTTGCTGTATAGCCCAGGCTGGGCTTCAGCTGACTGTGTAGTCCGTGCTGCAGCTTTCAGTGATCCTCCTGTCTCAGCCTCCTGAGTGCTGGGGTCGCAGGCCTGTGCCACCACCCCCAGTGTATCATACTTTTTTTAAAAATGCAAACTTTAATTTTAGAATATAAGATAAAGAGATGTTTTTCTGATGAGTTTTCTGTTGCCATTACAACAAATAGCTACACATTCAATGAACATGAACTAAGAGTTCTGTGGCTCAGAAATTCGAGATTCCAGTGGTGGCTCTGGGGAGAACCTGGGTCCCTGTCCCGGCTGCTGGAGGCGCCTGCAGCCCTTGACTCGCAGCCCCTTGCTCCGACTGCGGAGCAGGCAGCACCGCCTCTCAGCCTCAGCCTCTCGGCCTCCCTCACTGGCTTAGGAGCTCCTGCGGTCAGGATGACCCCCTCAGGGGCTGCCACCTAGCCTGGCTGCAGGGTCCCACAAGCCTCCCTGCTGTGGCTGCGGTTGGGTGGATAAGGTGATGGGCGCTGACTCCGGGGAGGACCTGCCGCGTCTCCCACACCTCCCGCGGACCGCTGCTTCTGTCTCTCATCTTCACACCGCCTTGCGTCTGTGACCTGGGTCTTGCTGCCGCCTCCTCTGTTTCCTTTTTTTGGGCGCTCCTGAGGCCCCAGGGCTCTGGTGGCCACTTTGCTCCCCAGCTGTGCAGAGACCTCCTGAGGCTGGCAGGGATGAGCCGGCGGGCTGGGGCCGAGTTCCCCGCAGCCAGTCCCAGCACTTCTGGACACCCAGGGCCGACCTTCTAGGTACAGCAGCTGCCCGCAACTTGGGGTACCGCGACCCTTAACGCAGAGGTGGAGCCGCAGCAGAGAGAGGCATCAGGCGACAGCAGAACTGGCCGAGCCCCTCGGCAGCCCCAGCTCAGGCCGCTGCCCCACTTTGGGGGCTGTGTCATGGGCCTGTGGAGGAGACTGGGAGCAAGTTTGCAATTAATATGGAGAATGAATAGTGAGCTTGGAACGGGCTCGCCGGGAGAGCTGTGGGGCCCGTGGAGAGAGCATTAATGTGCTGCTGCATTATTGGTGCTAATCACTTAAAATGTGTGCCTTTATTAGAGCTTTAATGAGAGCCACTTAAACTGTGCATTAAAAAGAGGAACTGCAGCGAGGCCGGCGGCCCGGAGGCAGGCGTCATAACTCTAATTGAAATGCTCTTAGCACAGGGAAAGTTGAGGATTCAGTGGTCCAGACTTTCCGGAACCTCACCACTGTGTCCGTGCAGGCCCCTGCCACCAGCCCTGGGGGTGGCAGAGTCCCTGCTCTGTGCCCACCATGTGCCCACGTGTCAGCCACCTGCCCAGGGTGTGCTCATCCGGAGGACCTGCCACTCCAGGCCCTTGTCCTCTGCGGATGCCAGGGCAGCCCCCGGGCAGAGTCACAGCACAGCAGGTCACCCGGAGTCCCTACCTGCCCCTGGCCTGGCTGTGAGGTCCGGGGGGTGGTGGCTGAGCTGCAGGAGCAGGCTGGGGCTCTGATTCGGGAGCGTCGCTTAAGCAGCAGGAACCGTGCGCCCCCTTTGGGGGCCGGTCCGCAGTGGAATGGATGCCTGTGTCCCAAGTTAGTGTCCGCTGGGAGGGGTGGGAAGCAGCTCCAAGCTAGTGAGACTCACACTCCGACGTGCAGCTCCGGTCAGCTGCGTGGTCTGCTGGGGGACAGAGGTGTCCCCAGGCGGACCTCACAGCTGTCCTTGCCTGTAGCTGATGGGTGATTGGAGGTCGGGGGCTTGAGGGTGGGCTGTTCGGTGGCCCGGGTGGTGGAGACCTGTGGGCGGGGGTGCTGTGTGAGAGATACCTAGCCAGGTGTAGCCAGAGTCGCCCCATGTTGGGGGTGCCAGTTGTGTGCCACGGTCCCTGGCTCATGGGGCTCCACGTGGCCTTTCTTTTATTTATTCATTTATTGGTACTGGGAATCGAACTCCGGACCTTGCACTTGTCAGGCAGGCACTTGTGCCGCTGAACTATATCCCCGGCCCTCCATGTGTCTTTCTCTTGCACCTCTCAGGCTGGCACAGTGACATGTGCCCCATGTCCCATCACTCGGGTCACCCTGCTCCTTGCTATGAGAACAGCTGCAGCTGTTCTCTACTGTCTAGCCCCCATCAAGCAGGGCCACAGGTGGAGGCTCCCCGCTGTGACACCCCCCGCAGACCCAGGGAGCCAGCGGGTGGGACCTGGGTGTTGATCTTCCTCAGAGCTGTGATCTGGGCCTGTGTCTGATGCAGGTCTCCTGGGAGCACCTTCCTGGCCCCACACAGCTTCTGACTGACGCTGCTTCTGTCTGTTGTAGGCTTCTTCCCCGGGAGCTCACAGGGGTGTGATGCCTTTCTGCGCCACAAGATGACGCTCATATCACCCATCATCCTGAAGAAGTACGGGATCCCCTTCAGCAGGGTGCGTACAGGCCGGCGCAGACGCCGGGAGGGGCCCCAGGAGAGAGGCTCCTTGGCCCTGGAGAAGGTTCTGAAAAACACCTGGCGGGGCCGCTGAGGTATTGCTGCAGGTGGCTCCATCTCCTGTGCAGGTGGGAGGGCAGAGGGAACCGCTGAGTCGGGCAGATCTCAGCTTGCCTTCCCCTGCTCCTTCCTCTTCCCAGGCAGCCCCTCTGCCCGAGTGGCCAACAGGCCTGCTCCACAGGGCCTGCGGTGGGTGTCGGGTCAGGCACAAAAGTGGAGGTAGTTCCTGTGGATGTGCCGGGAGCCCCTGAAGACCCCTCCCTGCCTGTGAGCTGTCATCCTGGCCCTGCCCCTTTCAGGCCTGTGACAGGTGCTGTCCTAGCAGGAGCTGCTGTGTGATAAGTTCCCATCTCGTGGCTGTGCTGATGGATACTAGGGGTTTGCAGACCAGTATGCTGTTGGGCCCCCGGGAGGCAGCCCTGCTCAAGTGTAGGCCTGTGTGCTGGGGTGGGACAAGCCTGGGCCCCTGGAGAAGCAGCCCCTCAAGGACCCAGCTAGGTTTCCTGGGCAGAGCGGCTTGTCAGGCCTAGGAGCCAGCTCCATGATGAGGCCCTTGCTCCCACTCTCCACCTCCATGTCAGCATGTCGGAAATCGCTTCTGACATTTTAATTGCCCGCCTTCGGCTCAGCCCGAATTGGACACGCTGCTTGTCGGGTGCAGCTAGGGAGGGCAGCTCCCAGGCCTTGCTGTGCGGGCAGGCGGGTGGGGGAGCTGAGCGCTGCGTGTGCAGGTGGAGACCGTATCCCTCAGTGCGTGGCCTGTGGGCATGAGCCCAGCTGATGTCTGCTGCCGTCTCCAGTGTGGACCAAGCCATGGCCCCGCCATCTCCCAGGTCCACATCTAGACGGTGCTGTGGTTCCCATACAGATCACCCATCCCGACCGGAGCACTGGCCTCCAGTCAACGTCAGAGGGCTGAGGACACCGAGAGGCCCCGTTGCTCACTCCTGGCCCTGCCCAGGCACCCAGTGTCCATGTCCTCCAGGCCCCTTTGCCTCTCAGCCTGGGGCGGTACCACAGCCCTAGAAGCTGTGGGCGTGGACCCAAGTGTACGATGGACCCCTCATCTGAATTCCCAGCACCTTTCAAAAGAGTGACTGCCTACACTCCGCTCTGCTTATAAATCCTTGTAATGGTATTTACTTCTTGAAGAAAAAGCAGATCGATAGCAGAGCTTTCAATAATTAACAGTGTGTATTTCTGCAATCTGCGTGGACTTCCTCGCTTACTCTGCGTGCGCTCAGAAGGCGCTGCAGCCAGGCTCCCGTGACGGGTGGCGGCTGGCGCAGATGACTTAGCCGCGCCCCATCCGTCATCCCCAGTGCTTCTCGATTTATTGTCGGGCTCCTGTTGACAGCAGTGACATGGAAGACGGACACCGTGGGCTCCAAACACAGCCCCCGGGATGTAGATGTTCCGACAGGGATGTCATCTTCCCATCAGCCAAGCGTGGCCTGTGTGCCGACCCTCAGGTCCCAGGAGGCGCAGCAGGCAGGGCAAGCCCCCCACGCCCCCCGAACCAGCCCCCGGGCCCTCCCATCTGGCTTTCCAGTGGGGGTCTCAGCTGCGCCCCAGAAGGCTCCAGTCTGGTAGCTTCCAGCACACAGTGCGCTGTGACCCGCAGGCCCAGCCACACTGGGCAGCCTACGGAAGGCGAGGGGCGCCCGCCGGGGTGTGAGGAGGCCCGGCAGGGGCTTTGTAGGGCCGAGAAAATCAGCCCTTGTACTGAAAAGTAAAAGCCCCGAAGTTTGACTTTACCTCCCCGCGTCCCCGGAGCACAGTGAAGCAGACCCAGAGAGTCTGGGCTGTGGGTGGCAGTTGCTAGGGCCCGAGGGATGCAAGTCCCACCCTGTACCCTCCCACCATGCACACCATGCTGCCCCATGCGCCTGTCACTCGGACAGGGATTTAAAAATGTAATTTAATGCACACTGACTTCCCTTGATTGGTGCAATTAATTATTTGAAAAGAAAAATACCATAGTGTCCGTAAGGCCTGGCTCTCCTCCAGGCGGTGTCAGTTTTGATTGATTTTTGACACAGTGGTGGCTTACAGAAGCCTCACCCTCGGCTGTGCCGCCCGCTCCCCACCCACCAGGGCTCTGCCTCAGCTCAGCTCCTTGAATCCAGCAGCTTCTCATCTCTCCGGGGGAGCGCGTGCAGCTTAGCCAGCCCGATGGCACCCGCGAACGAACAGCGAAAATGCGTGCAGCCGGAGCCCGTAGGTGGCGCAGCGCTCTGGGCGGCCGAGCCAGGAGGGTTGCAAGTTCAGTCCTAGCCCACGTGACTTAGCAACTTAGCGAGACCTTGTCTCAAAAAGTAAAAAGGGCTGGGGATGGAGCTTAATGCAAAGGCCCTGGCTTCAGTCCCAGTACTACAAGGAAAAAAAAGGAAAATAAAAGGCAAGCAACGCTGATCAACCAGGGTAAAAGTCTGAACAGACACGATGGAGGGGATGTGTGATTGCCCCCGCAGGATGTGGCGTTGGGCAGCCACGCAGGTCGTGCTGCGGAGCCATAGGCCTGGCAGGTGGGAGCGGCCCCAGCCTGGCAGCCCCTGGGCACCAGGGTAGGTCCTGTGCCCTGCAGTCCCCTCACAGCTCACTCCCAGAGGAGGCCATGTGCCCCTAGAAGGACTTGGGAACACACGCACATGGCAGAACCCGTGGGAGGGCTCAGGAGATGGGGACACAGCCAGTGTCTGCACAGCAGGCTTCAGCTGAGTGATGGGTGGGGGCCAGCTCTGCGGCCCGTGACTGTGGGCACACGCCAACAGGGGACACCGGCGTGCAAGTGCCCAGCTATAGCTCCACGTGTGCAGACTACAGGACAGCAGCCAGGCCCCAGGTGACAGCACGTGGTGGGGGGCTGAGGCGGGGTCCTCCCCAGGGTGTGTACTTGGCCAGAGCCTCTGCACCCCACCGTTGTGCTGCGGGTGCCTGACTGTGGGTGGAGGCGAGGAGTTACCACTCCCCGTGCCAGGTCCCCCTGCCTGTGGCTCAGGCCCAGGCCCTGTCTCCAGGACGCACTTTGCCAGGTCCCCGGACACAGCGAGTGGAGACAGTCCCTGATGTCATCTGTCACGGAGCTGTCAGGAAAGAAGTAACTGATGGCCAAGTGCTGGCATAGCAAGGACAGCGCCGTCGCCTGAGTCCCCTCCCTGGAAGGGGCAGGGAGCCGCGATGAGGCGGTGACCCACAACACCGGTGACCACCACCCTTGCCCTCCAGGCTCTGGTGGCCGCTGTGGCAGCCTGGGTCCTGGTCACCATGGCCCGCTTTTCACCTCTGTGACCTGTGCTGTGTGACTGGGTACTCTGTCCCACTGTCGGAGCTGGCTGTGGATGCCGCAGCCCCCCTGCAGAGTTCTGATCGTAGCACCGAGCCCCCTGCATGCCCACTGTGGCCTCTGAAATCTCCTTTACTGCCCTTCTTTGGAGCTATAGAGGATCTAGGCTGTGACAGTGACTCGATGCAGGTCATCTTGCGGGCCTGTGGCACACACATGGCCTCTTGTGCCAAGGGGACACTGTCCTGGAACCCCTGCTACACAGAGGCCTGTCACAGAGGCTGCAGGGGTGATGGCCCCTCCAGACAGGGGACCCTGTCCTCACTTCAGGCATTCAGTGTGAGAGGTGGCCGTGTCCCAGAGCCCAGCAGTCTGCCTCTGCTGTCCCCTGGGAGGATGCTGTCCCCTTGGATGGGGCCGGTGGCTGTGCTCATTGCCCGGGGTCGGCCAGGCGCCCAGACCTCAGGAGCTCCCTTGACGGTGGGACGTGCCCTCACGCCGGCCTCGGCTCCTCCCTTTGGGGCCTGCCTGTCCTCCCCGCCCCCTCACCTCCCACTTCCTTCCTCAGATCACGCAGGAGGCCGGCGAGTTCATGATCACCTTCCCCTACGGCTACCACGCCGGATTCAATCATGGGTTCAACTGCGCAGAATCTACCAATTTCGCTACCCTGCGGTGGATTGATTACGGCAAAGTAGCCACGCAGGTAGGCGCCCGAGGGTGCTGAGGAGCCCAGCGGGCGGGAGTGGTGCTTCCCTGGCTCTGGTGGCTGTCTGTCCCTGGGGTCCTGGGGCGTGTGTGAGGAGGCACAAGGAGGTGCCTGACCTTGAGGCCGGGGAGAGGTGAGGTGGGGCGCACGGTGGCCTGGGCTGATCTTGGGTTTGTCTGCAGCAGCCTCAGAGCCTGTGCTTGGGGTGGCCCCACACCCCACTCTTCCATATCTGAGGGTTTTGTGCTGACTTGGGGTCACCAGAAGTTACGCAAAGGCGAGGAGATGAGTTTGTGTCCCCCAGTAACTTGCCTCGCTTGGTCTCTGACATGTGACAGTGAGCTGTGTGTGTGCATAGCACTCTAAGGTGCTTCCTGCCACACCTGCACCTGCAGGACACCTGTCCCAGTGCTCAGGAGGAGACCACGAGCTCCTCTGCCCAGCCTGGGACTCAGGCCACATGGCCGGGCTCCTGTGCTACTCCTAAGGCGGCTCTGAGTCTTGGCCATGCTGTCCCTTCTGCCCCAGGGCAGCCGGGTATGGCTGCCGGCTGCCCATGGTGACAACAGGCGGTCCCTCCAGACCCTCCGTGTGTTATTTGACTGTGTGCTTTGCTGGGAAGCCGGGCTCTGGTCGGCCTGCCGTTCTGCGGGCAGCGCTGGTCTGAACGGGTGCATGCCTTTTGTATTTCGGTTACTTGTTTCTCTGTCTTAATTGCTGCAGTGCTGGTTTCGATTCTTGGTGTTTCTGCAGCACTGGGGACAGAGCCTGGGGCCTCGTCTGCACGAGCGAGCGTGCGCCACTGAGCCGCACCCCCGCCTGAGCGAGCTTCAGGAGAGACGGGCTGCGTAGCAGAGGGTTGGAGCTGGTCCCAGGGTGCAGCCTGGAGCTGGCAGTGGGGATCTTCTCTGTGAAAATCCTGAGCTTGGCTAGGTGAGGACAGACCCAAGGATTAGCACTTGCTGGAGTTTGAACTAAAGGAATAATAAAGCATCTTAAGCCACGGTGCAGTGGCCAGGCTATGTGGCTGTGTGCCTGTCACCCAGGCCTGGCCTGGCATGTCCTGCAGGTACCATCACCGCCGAGGCTGCGTGGGCCTCGGGACCTGCCCACACATGAAAGGCAATTTTGGGTGCAGCCATGTGTCTGCAAACAAGTGACACCTGGGAAGTGCGGGCTGGCTCGGGCCTCCACGCTGACATTGTTAGGTGGCGGAGCGTGAAATTGCTGAACAAGTGGCACTGCGCTCGGAGGGGGCTCTGGGCGGAGCTGCTCCCAGGGCCCCAGCGCTGCCTCTGCTGCACTGCGGGGTGCTGAGGCCCAGCTGAGGCATCTGCTCCTGGGCTGCACGGCGGGGACAGGGCAGCGGGTCCCAGTGCCGGCAGGGTCCCTGTTCCCGTGGCTGTCAGGGAGAAAGCTGGGCTGTCAGGGAGAAGGCGGGAAGAGGCCCTGTGTGGAGAGGAGGGAAGAGGAGCCCCCTGCTGTGCTCCCCTGTGGCCTGGGTACCCGTCCACCTGCCTCAGGGTCAGCTGCTTGTCACTCATGTGTCAGGGACCCCAGAGGCCGTCTGTACCCTGCGCTCAGAGGCTGAGTTCCTGTGGCTGAGTCTCCATGCCCGTGCCTGCCTTGCCCTGAGCTCCGCAGCAGCAGGGGGAGAGCTGCACGCCACCCACAGCCTCCATGCGTTCCAGGCGTTCAGTCAGGACGTGTAGACCAGGCCCTCAGGCGGTGCCCAGCCAGGAGCTGTAGACCAGGCCCTCAGGCGGTGCCCAGCCGGCAGCTTTTATCCCATCTGCACAACAGGCGTGATTTTTACATCCTCAAAGCTGTAGGGGAATCAGGACATGTGGCCTATGGCAGTTACAGAGAAGTCAGGTTCTGCGTTCCTGAGGCTGTGTCTTTGGGGCGCAGCCACACCATCCCTCGTGTGGCCGAGGCCCCTCCACCCTGCGGTGCCAGAGCTATCAGCCCAGAGCCCAAAATAGCAGCTTTCTGGAGGAGGGCATCAGGCCACCCACTCCTCGCAACACCCTGAGCCAGCCGAGCCACCGAGGCTGCAGGTCTGAAGCTTCTGGGCCCCTGCAGCCTGGCTGGCCATGCCCCCTCACCCACACCCTGTGCTGAGACCAGGGCAGGCGGAAGGTGGCACCGGCTACAGGTGCCCTCTCTACCCACACGCTCTACAGGCCAGACCCTCGTCCCACCCCTCTGAGCGCTTGCAGTGCTGGGACCTGCCCCCTGAGGTGGTGATGTCTGAATGACCCTTGTCTGCCAGTGGGACGTCACTCTGTAGACTGCCTCGGGCCCGAATGGGAAGTGACAGAAGAGAGCCACGGGCGGCGCTGTGTGCCCCCGCCAGACACCGCTGTTGGGGTAGGTCAGGGTCCAGGCTGTGCTCTGTGGGGCATCTTGGGCCCTGCAGGTTGCTGAGCAGTGTCCCTGGACCCCACTGGCTCCATGCCAGGAGCTCCCCAGTGTGACAGGCCAGATGTCCCCAGACACAGCGTCTGGGGGCCCTGGGCCAGTGGTGCTTTCACTTTGCTCTCTGTCAGCTGTTGTTTTCGGCCTCTGCTGGCGAGTCCTAGCACAGATTTCCTGTAGGGGGTGGGATGGCACCTCTGAGTGCCCCCCGACGAGGCAGCTCCTCTGTGGGCACCTGTGTTGTTCACAGCCCGCACCCCTGCACCCCAGACACTGCGGGCCACCGCGCTGTGCCGCTGCCGCCCTGCCTTGCAGATGTCCCCAGCTTGAGGGATGGTTGGGCTGACAGGAGGACCTGCCCAGTACCCAGTCAGAGCTCTGCTGCTGGGCGCCTCTGCATCCAGGAACTCAGGTGCTGAGAAATATCTGCCCCAGGCACCCCCCTGCTTTTTTCTTCTTTCTGGTGCTCGAGTTTGAACCCAGAGCCTTCATACTGAGCTACAACCCCAAGCATTTTTTTTTTTTGAGACAGGACTTCACTGAATTGCCCAGGCAGGGCACAAGGTTATGATCCTCCTGCCTCAACTTCCCAGAGTGCTGGGACAGCAGGCGTTTGGCACCATACCTGGCTAACTTGTGGGTTGGTTTTTGCTGTGGGAATTAAACCAACCCAGTGGGACCCACAGGACTGTGGCAGGACAGGGCCCACAAGACCGCTGAGCCTGGTGTCCCTGAGGCGCTGTCCCCACCTTGAGGCTGTCCCTGGGAGGTGGCAGCAAGGCCAGCGCGCTGTGTCCCTGCGTCTGCTGTGACAGGTCGTACCCCTCGCGACCGAGCCCTTGCGTTGCCGTGTGGGCGTCTTCCCTCACGTGTGACTCAGGCACTGCCAGGCCCGCGCTTCCTTGCGTGGTGACGCCAGCCCCTCCACGCAGCACTGGCCGTGCCCATGGCCTTGAGAGGACAGGCGTGGTGACTGCCGAGGTCACATGGGTGCTCAGCCCAGCGTGCCTTCCCGCTCCTGTTTCCCTGCTTCCCCCTTGGAGGTGCAGGCTCCAGGTCCACGGCGGCGGCAGGGCGCAGTCTGGCGGGTGGCAGCACTCTGATGTCCCAGGCCCCGCTCCCCAGCACACAGGCTTAGGGCGGGGGAGGGGGATTGCTGATGGGGACATCAAAGGGATGCCTGCTTCTCAAGGAGGACGGCAGTGCCCGCTGCAGCCTCCCCGGGTCGGAACTGGAATTAGTCCTACAGGCCGCACGCCGCCTTGGATTACCTCGGCGTGCCATGGGTGGCGTGGTGCTGCCTGCTGCGCTGGCAGACTCGGCCTCTTCCTGGGGACTTGCCCTGTCCCTAAGCCACCCACTGGGCGGAGGGTTGACCACAGATTACACCAAGCCAGAGGATTGCAAGCTGGGTTGGCACGGCTAGGGGACGCCAGTAAAATGTGCTCAGTCACCCCTGGAGAAACCCTGGCACTCTTGGGGAGATGTCCAAGTGGGGGGGTCTGGCGCGAGGGGAGACAGACACAGATCCTGAGGCACCCCCACGTCCGCCGCACCCCATGTTCAACTGCTGCAGCCAGTCAGTGCAGGAGCGCCAGCAGGAAGCAGGTTGGGGGGCGGCCCTTACCCACAGCCTGGGGTCCGTGAGGCCCAATCACTGTAAAGCGGTGCCAGCTTGCCTCTGCCCCTCCGAGTACTGCACGCCTTCTGTTTGTAATGATGCCGCCTGCTCTGCGTGATTAACCCGGCCCGGGGAGGAGGCAGAGTGCTGAGGCGGTGGCGGGTGGAGCAGGCCAAGCAGAGGGGCTAAAGCCCCAACCCCCAGCCCTGAGGTGCCAGCTGCCCGAGGCTGCGCCTCACTAACCCTCTGATTTATGGCATTGCAGGGCTTGCTGTAAATTGCTTTGTGAAATAACGCTGTCCTTCGCTCCTTCCCCGCATCAGCCCTGTGCGTGTCCTGGGACTGTCTCCGCCCCCGCGTGGACACATGGGCTTGAGGTGTCTGACAGGCATAGAGGTGAGCGAGGGTCCGGGCAGAGACCTTGCAGTGCTTGGCACCAGCACTGGTCAGCTCCGCTTGGCTCCTAAGCTCGTGTCCCTGCCGTGCAGGTCTGGAGCAGGCGCTGAGGGCCACAGTCTGCAGAGATGTCCAGGCAGGGTCTTCTGGGTGCTGGGGCACGCTGGGGCTGGTGTGCTTTGCGGGCATCCTGGGCACTGCAGGGTGCCAAGCTGTATTCTTGGCCTCCACCCACCCCATGCCAGGAGTGCCACAGCCGTACGTGTGTGACAGCCGTCCGTGTCCCTGTGTATGACCTGGTGACCTTGGGAGAGTGTTGCCTCAGTTGAGGGCCTTTGGACTGGGTGGCTCCTTGGGGGCTGCAGCCACATCTGCCCAGCGTGTCGGGGTCTTTCCAGAGGGAGACCAGAGGCTGGGGACTCAGGCTACGGCAGAGCCGCGCCTGCCTTTCGTGCTGCCCTGCAGGGAGTGTTTCCTGGCTGCAGCTGAATGTCCAGTGGCATTAGATGCGGAGGCTGCCCTGGGGCCGGGGTCCTCAGGGGGTGGCAGCAGGGGAGTC